GATATTACTTGCACGCATCTCTGAGTACAGGCAAAGAATCTTTACATAAGATTTTTGCTGCTCAGTGAGAATGTGAGATGACCATGGCAACTCTGGCTGCATCACAATAGTAGACATGCTCTTTATAGGCTATATGACAGGTGGCCTTTAGAAAGGGGTGTATGTGTGTGTATATATAGGTAACCAGGCTTTTTTGTAGAATGAGAAAATGTATTTCAGGAAGCTGATGTAATTCTATTAGTTTGCTTTTTTGAAATCTGAGACAGTATTAGGGTATTGCATCTGAACTTGGCTGTCTAGAAACTGCTGCCATGTTATAGCTGGAGATGATAGCAGCTTTTTAGCTAATCCAGTGGTCTCACAGTCTCTCAACCAGGCTTAGTTGCTGGCCTTGTAGTGTGTAGGTTTGGCTCTTTTTTGGACAGCAGACCTGCTCTTCACCTGAGTTAGCACTGATGCAAGCAGCCTTGGGGAATAACTGTCCACTTCAGTTACAGACAGCACCTAGGACAAATGGTCTGTGAGTATGGGAGACCCAGGGTTTAAGTTACCTTGACTCCCAGGAGAGTTGCTTACCGGCTAGGAGGAGGTGGCTTCTTTCTCCATAAATATTCTTATACCTATTAGTTAAATAAAGCACTTGGGTTAATGTGGAGTTAAGGTTGCCAGAAGGTAATGTTTTGTGGTTAAGTAACATCCAGCAGTTCAAAATTGCTGTACCTATCATAGTGAACACAGCTGGAGTGCTTGCAGATGGTTCTGTATGGCTGTTAGCTCCAGTGGGCGGAGTTGAGGGTTGTGTTGGCACGAACCTTTAATGCTTTTATGGTCATGGTTTCCAGAAGTTTGAGACAGTCAAGAGCCCAAGACACCCTTCATTTGGCATTAATAAAGTTCTTTTTACAGTTAATTGTTTAGCTTTTTTTCAATAGGGGAAGAGCGATTTGTTATATGAGTGATTTAAGGCAGTTAGGTTAAAAAAGCCCAGCTTTTATGCAGTACTTTGTCCCCATTGTACCCAGAACTTGGGCCCTTAAAATGAAGTTTCAAATTTGCATTGCCCAAGTGCATCACTTTGATTAAACCAAGGCACATGGAAATTAGCTGTGAAAATATGCCTTGGATAGTCATTCCACACATGCATCCTGTGATCTGTTGTGGCTGTTGAACTGTCCCTCGATTAATCAAGTCGGCTGCAGTGTGCTAATTAACACACTCTAGCAGCCTCCTTGGCACGTGTATTTAGCATCCCCACACTTCAAAAAAGCGACAGGGGTGGTTGAACTAAAGCTAGTCTGACAAGCTTTAGTTCAAGCACCTCTGCTGCCATTCTGGAGCGCAGGACACTGAATACCCTTGATGCTTTGAGCGTTTCTAATTAAAGTGCCCCCCACCTTGAGCCGGAGCACCTGTATAGATGCCCTTGCTGCCAGCCAGTTTCAAGGGACCTAGGACAAGCTGAGAAGTGTGGCTAAAGCAGAAGGCCACAGAGCCTGTTTCTTAGTGATTGTAGAATGAGCCCTTTACAGACCTTACAAACCAGCCTGGCCAATAAAGCGAAGAAAGCAATCAATCTATCCAGTTAAACCAGTAATGAGATCAAATTAAGTAGAGCACAAGGCCTGAAAGGAGCCTTTATAAAAGAAGGCTTTAAAATAGATAATCTAAAAATACTATATTATAGCTTTGGCTTAAAATGTTAGTAGTAGTGATTAATATAGCAGAATGTGTTAATGTTATATGTATTATATAATAGATATAGCTATATTAAATTTCTTAGACAAGTTATAAAAACAAAGCAGCCTTATCAGCTAAGACCATAAACTAAGGCAAAAAGAACATAGAGCAGCAGCAAGCAGCATTGGGTAAAGGAAGGAGATAAGCAATCCTCCCTTTTAGGATTGTTACTTTCATAAGGACATACATGTCAACTAGACACCTTGCAAGTCTGTCAGAAAACTGGTTTAGTCCATTTGCAGAAGTTTCACTAAAACTTTACAGGTTTTTCCATTTGAATAAAACCAATCAGAAAAATGTTTATTAGCATATTGAAGTAAACTCTCTATAAATGCAGGATACAGGGAAATTTGGGAAATTCAGCAATTTCAAAACCTGCTGTGTCTCCTATGGTCTCCTGCCACTCCCACAAAAAGAAGCTATATTGTGCTGTCATGGTTAGCCAGATGGACCTGGGGCTAAGTATTTTTAATGTTGTGTTTAGGTGTGTGAGCAAAAACAAAAAAGGTGGACTGTAGACTTCTCTCTTGCCTCCCCCTCTACAACCTCAGAGGCATTAAGGATGACAGTATGAGCAGGCTTCCAAAGTCTACATTCCTGCAGCATTTGAGCAGAAAAGGGCAGAACGCAACTGTACCTCAAAATTCACAATGGGAGGTGATGTCTGTTTGCTGTAATCATCAGAGATCAGAGGGGTGAATGGAGCAGGCTGGCCTGAAAAGGCACAAAGTTGAAAGGTGCTGGTGGATCAATGCAATTGGTTAACTTGAGAAGAGGTCATGTACTAACCAAAGCTCACCTGCACTGTTTGAAAGCAAGAGGAAATTTATTTGCCCATTGCTAAATTTCCCACTGTTTGGGGGTGGGGTAATGTTTTTGGGGGTGTGGCATTTTAATTGGGACAATTCGCTTCTCTGTTAGTTACTCCATTCATGCACCCATGCCTCAGTGACCTTACAAGTCAAAACATGCACCCAGGCATTTTATTTCACTTGTATGTGCCACAAAATACTGCAGACTTGAGTTATGTATGTGTCAGTGTTTTTGAAGCAATCTAAGAATGTGGTGAACCTACTGTGTAGGGGTATTTTTGCACTGGGGCAAAAATAATACAAACCCCTTCACAATTAAAGATGATTAAATATTTTGAACCGAATAGTCATGCCCATTAGAGATGGAAAAGATTTCTGATATTCTCATTACCTCCTAGATTCAGCTTCATGCTCTCTTGCACTGATCAGTAGGTTAGATGAACAAAGGGCTGATAGTGGAATGTGATCCATTTCTATGTGCCCTATTCTTGCTTTTCCTCCCCCCACTTCTAAAGTATTGCTTTCATTGCTGCTTTCCTTCTGCCTACAGTTTTTGAACGTACATTTGTAGGCAACTGCTAAGGCCTACAGCATATGAAAAATTGCAGAAAACAAACCTTTTTTAAGGACTCTTGTTTAATCTGTATTAATAGGGGAAAAAATCCAGACATTATCTAAGTGCCTTAGCATCCAAGTGCTATGCTCGACCACACAGCGATTGAGGTTGACTTAAAAATCAACCTCAAATCGAACAGGCTCTAAAATCCAATGTCAACATCTTCAATTACATCTTTGTAATTTATAAAAGAAAAAAGGTTTCTCACTTTTTAAGGGAGATGGTGAATATGAAGAAGTGAGAATCTGATTAGTCTGAGCAAAGTTCTGCACTCATCCCACCCTCTTCGTTTAACACTGCTGTTTTGATATACTGCTTTGTCTTATTTCTGTAATCCGTCTTTGTCAATTTTTTTCTCTCTCCTGCTGTCCCTGGTGGGTAGTAGTAGTACCACTGGCAACCTAGCAATACCTCAATGTTTGCAACTCCACAACATTCCAGCAAAGAATATAGCAAACTTGTACCATTCATTCATGGAGTGAGGAAGTGAAGCACCCTTTATTCTGTGGGTGGTCCCGTCATTTTAGTGGGACTGTTGAAAGAGTACTTGTTACCCAGTGCAAGGATTGCAGAATGTAGCCCTGTATCCTTTAAAGGTACAAATCTAAGATGAGAGCCATCCTGCAAGTGTCTCAGCTTCCAGTACCTTCATTAGGGAGGATCTTTGTAAGATCAATCCCAATATTTGTACAGTATCTGCTTCAACATCATGAGCCTTCAATGCAATGCTGTGGCTAGTAAAGCAACAAAAATGCTGGCTTGCATCCATAGATGCTTCTCAACCAAATCCTGGGATGTCATTCTCTCCCTGTACTCAGGCTTGGTGAAGCAGCAGCTGGAGTACTGCGTCCAGTTCTGGGCCCCACAATTCAAAAAGAATGTGGAGAAGCTTGAGAGAGTCCAGAGAAGAGCCACATGCATGATCAGAGGTCAAGAAAACAAGACCTTATGATGACAGGCTGAGAGATATGGGGCTCTTTAGCCTGGAAAAGTGTAGGCTCAGGGGTGATCTGATGGCCACCTGTAAGTTTATCAGGAGTGACCACCAGCATCTGGGGGAATGTTTGTTCACCAGGGCGCCCCAAGGGATAACGAGGTCGAATGGTCACAAACTCCTCCATGACTGTTTCAGGCTGGACATGAAGAATTTTTTTACTGTCTGAGCCCCCAAGGTCTGGAACAGCCTGCCATCGGAGGTGGTTCAAGCACCTATACTGAACACCTTCAAGAGCAAATTGGATGCTTATCTTGCTGGGATCCTATGACCCCAGCTGACTTCCTGCCATTTGGCTGGACTCGATGATCTTCCGAGGTCCCTTCCAGCCCTAACGTCTATGAAATCAGCCGCCACGTTGCAAGCTCTCTACTTGGGCTGGAGAGCAGTTACTCACTTGTGTAGTTCTGCTGAAGCCAATGGAGTGTCACATGACACCCATGAGGGGTCCTCAAGGATCACAATCTGGCCTTGAAGGCTTCTAGGTTAAGGACATGTAAGTAAAGCAGCTATCATAGATTCTGAAGTGCCTTGAGGCTCTTTCCAGTGTACAACCAGATGTAAGTGCCTTTCTATCTAATGGTGTTACAGCGCTGACGCTGCAGTGGTGCCATGGATACAAGACTTGATTCTGGGGCTACTTTGATGTGCTGTTGTACAAAGCCATGTGGTTCTCTCGCTGTGTACATTCCTTTCGACGGTTCCTCTTTTTCTTGCCTTTTCTTTTTGCTGCTATCATTAATTCTTCTCTACCCAGAGCAGCTTAGTGGGAAAGGTATGCTGTAATTGGTTTATAACTGCTCATAACGATCTGGCAACTCTGTACGAATAACAACAGGGAGCCACTTAACTGGTGATTTATTTAAGTAAGCGACATGGTTGAAAGGTAGTCCCAAATGTACAAGGTTAGCTAGTCACCTAATTGGACATAAATTTTCACATCTATTTCACAAGAGACAGATTTGTTATGAAATACCAAATTTGAATTTATAAGCAAGCTTCTAAACTGATTTATAAGCAAAGTTAGTATAATCTGTTTTGGGACATCTTGCATTCCACATTCAATAGCTTTTAGCACATAGTTCACTTGAAGAATACAAGTTAGGCTTGGCATTTGTAAAGCTCATCAAATATTAATTTAAGGTTTTATTTATTTACAGATGGAGTAACAGACCTCATTTTGGTACATTAGTATAAACTTAGTGTTTTTAAAAATGAAGATTGGTAATGTTTCTTTCTTTGGCTGTAGTCTTTTATCAGTTTTTCAAGCTGCTGCTTTTTTGGTCAAGGCTCTGACTGCTCCATCTCACACAAGACCCATGATACGGGCCACCCACCATCTGCAAGGCATAATTATTCGGCAGGCAGTACGGCATCCTTGGTAGTTATAAGGCCAAGGGTAAAAGCCCATGAGAGGTTCACAGATTCTCTGGCACTGTGTGTAACTTCGTCTACATTCACTACAGCATATGCCTTGATGGTCCAGCATTGGGTCAAAAGCCATTCCTTCACCTTCAAATTGCTGAAACACAAAATAAAAACATGGTCTCTCAAGTAAATTACAGAGAAACAAAAATGTCCCACATCTGTGTTACCCATCAATCTTGGCTTGATTTGCCATTGCTTTGCTCCACTTCTATGCTAGAATTGCCGAAGTAAATAAATAGGTCACAATGTGAAGTCAGCCCTCTGCTTGCATATCATTATTTTGCTTTCCCAATTTTTTGAGAGCATTAAGGTCATGAAAAGTTTAAAAGCAGTAAACTCCAAGGTAGAGACATTAGCGATGGCAGAGAGATATGAGGTTATCCAACCCTGTCCCGCTCAAGGTACAGGACTATCCCCCCCCCCCCCCCC